TATGAAGCAATGTATTTCATTAAAAAACACCAACTCTCATAATGTACGAAATGCCATTTCAGACCCCTGCCCCGGACTTTTACAAAGGTGTCATCCACATCCCCAATCTCACTATTAATGCACCTATCAATATTAATCCCGGGGGGTAAGGGTGCAGGCAATGTGTGGGAATTTGATCATGAATTCTATCCCACAGACGGGCATTTGACAAAGATTTTTGCCCAGGTGCGGGCGATTTGCACCTATCATTGTTTTCCCCCTGAGAGGGGGGGGGGGTGCGGGCAACCCAAAGGGGACTTTGACCACACTATGAAGCACCAGGGAGGGAAATTTGACCTATGCATCAACTCCCAGAGTCGGGAAATTTTGACATCCGCCATCTTGAAAATTTGTGCGGTTTTGACATTAAAGGCCTGGTAACAAGTATGGCGGAGAAGCACGATCAAGTTTCATCGATAAATGTATTTTATACACAGTGTCTCAATTTTACCAAGTTTAAACCAGTATAGACTGTATGTTCGCATTGGAAAACATATGTGTGCCTTGTTATCTTAGGAAATATAGTGGAGAATTCTTGACAGTCGTTTCGCCCAACAGTGGGGATTTTGACGACAAAATTTTAAAATGTCGTACCCTGGTTGCCTGCACTCTCAGGTAGAAACATTGATAGGTGCATAACTTCTCTGCAAAGTTGAGATGTCTGGACAGCCTGGATAATACTCACCTGGAGATCAAGATCATGATCCGAGATATCCGTAAATTGTAATTTACTGAGGCCATATTCACGCATTCTCCGATAAATTGTACTCTCTGATACAGACAACAACCTCGATATCTCTTTAATGGTAAAGTCGTCGTCCAACCAGCACTCTAATACACTCTTTGGAATGAGAAACTGGGGGGCGCCACAAAATGAATTTAACTTTGTAGGTGGTTTTTCTCCATACGTTGAACAAGCTATTCGGAGTGCCATAATATCTTGTCGGTCGTTTATACCCAACATTGCATACTCTTGCAACGACAACTTGCATATCATATCGGCTGAGATCTTTTGTTCTTTAAACTTATCAATGAAGCGACCAAGGTTCAATTTCTCTAAAACCTCATCCATTATTATTTCATTATACAACCGAATCAATCTTCGCGAGCATAGCAACTAATATAAACAGGTTTAATTGCTGCAAAATCTCTTTCATAGTTTTTTCTCTGACGCCATCTTGGAAAATTTCCATTGAAAATTTCCCGCCAGACTAAATACAGCCAATTGCAGTTGAGCTTGCAGCTTGCATTTTAAACGCGTTGTTGCATCGTTGAAAAGTATGCGTTCATTCCTTGGAAACACGCCGTTGCTAGGGGCGTAACGTGAACTTTTGGCGCGCGTTGTAACGACGTAAACATGTTTGTCTATTCTTGGCGTTGACGAATTAAATTAGATTTTGTCATATTAAATTAGATTTTGTCACAAAACCGACCAGGGAGTTTTAATTTGACTACAGGCATTCTAAAAATACCTTACTGTTCCGTCGCAGGCTTAAGCGGCATTTTTACAATATATTTAACTCGTTATACGTTTGTTTGCACGCCGTTCAGAAGTTCAACAATGCCCGCCAAAAGTTCACGTTACGCCCCTAGCAACGGCGTGTTTCTAAGGAATGAACGCATACTTTTCAACGATATAACAACGCGTTTAAAATGCAAGCTGCAAGCTCAACTGCAATTGGCTGTACATAATTAATTTATAACAAATTTATTAAAATTTATGCCCATTTTGGTGATAGTGACCGCTGATCGTAAGGATGTCGGTAAAGTTACTAAAGTATGTTCACCGTACGATAGAAGCACCTCGTATAATGATCAAAGCACCTCGTATAATGATCAAAGCACCTCGTATAATGATCAAAGCACCTCGTATAACGATCAAAGCACCTCGTATAATGATTAAAGCACCTCGTATAATGATCAAAGCACCTCGTATAATGATCAAAGCACCTCGTATAATGATCAAAGCACCTCGTATAATGATCAAAGCACCACGTATAATGATCAAAGCACCTCGTATAATGATCAAAGCACCTCGTATAATGATAAATGGACCTCGTATAATGATCAAACCACCGTGTATAATGATCAAAGCACCACGTATAATGTTCAGAGCACCGCGTATAATGATCAAACTACTGCGTATAACAGCAAAAGCACCGCGTATAATTATTAAAACACCACGTACAGTGATATTTGATCACTTAAGACAGTTGTGGCTTTCCATACAACTGGCTTAAATTTTAGCTGACAACTGACACCCATGACCCCCATTAATAGGCAATTCCCATTATAGCTAAGCATCATGGGAAATGTGGTAGGCTTCACTTGCACGCGAAATGGCCGCCGCGAAGCGAGCATTTTGCATGCGAGAGAAATTGCTTTATTAAAGTACATTTTTTCCAGAGTATTATAGTTTAAATAGAAGTAGTGTGTTTGTATTACATTGAAGTGTATTGTGGACGAAGTATATCGAAATCGAAGCGAAAACGGACGAAATAATTGGTGTTGAACAGGCGAGGAGCGAAGAATGGCCTCGCAAATACGAACCGAGAGGAAGGTTCAAGTCTACATTCTAAGGTGAGTACGCTTGGTAGACATCGGACTTCTCGATACAAATACGTGTGACTTGTTGCTTGATTTATATCTCGATTTTCTCAACGATCCAGCGTTATCTCGCGATTTTTTCGCTTCTTGAAACTCTCAAATTCGGCCCATGATGTCTTTCGTTCGTTCGATAAGCATGGCCTCTAAAAGCAGTCTTTTAAAAAAGCCTTGAAAATGTTTTGGCGCGAAAGAAAACCAACCTAAACCGGGTTTTTCCGCCCCAGCTCTGTTACGTTGCCAAAAGCATAAAAAGAAATAATTTTACCGCTGTTTCTGCCGTTTATAATAATTTCTGCTTCCTTTGTTGTGGTCGGTTCATTTCCTGTCAAAATAAACAAGTAGGTTCTAGCTAGTTAATTTTAAATATATTAAATTTACCTCTTTTAACTTTGTTAAAACTGTTTAAAATTTGCATAGTTTTGTGCTTATAGTTAAATACAAATTTAAAGGTATTTAAAGGCATTCTAGTTTAATTTTTTTCATATAAAGCTGCAGGCAGTTTAGTGGACAAGAATATAAATATATTAATATTTTAAAATAAGGAGTAGGTTTTAAGGCTGGTCCTAAAAATTAAATTTCTACATAATTTTAAAATTGTTAGGATAGGTTTAAGTTAAATTAAATAAGTTTATATTATGGGTAATGAACTAGGAACTTCAATAGAGGCAGATACAATTAATTTGGCAGCAGACCTAGAAACTACATATTCTAGGAAAAAGCAAAATGGTGGCACTGGTGGAACAACTTGTTGTATTCCTAAATGTGATAGCAATACTAAAAAAAAATCCTGAGCTATCATTATATCAAATTCCAACTGATATGAAGCTGAGAAATATGTGGTTACACTTGATTGGCCGAGCAAGCTTTAAACCTAACAAGTGCCACCGAGTTTGTTCAAAACATTTTGTGGGTGGCAAGAAGACTTGTCTTCACAATGTTCCAACAGTTGTGCAAAAAGTTTTGCTGCCTACACCAACAAAGCCCAGAACAACATTTAAGTGTGTAAATAGAAGAGACCCAAATGAGGATAGATGCATAATAAATGAACAGGCAGAACAGCTAACATCTTCAAGAAATAAAATTTCAAAACTTGAACATGTAGTTGAGACTCTTGAACAGAAAAACCAAGAATATGAAGAGGAAATTTCAAAGCTGAAGGAAAAGGTTCAGCAATGTGATTTTTCAACAGATCAATTTAAAAGCAATGATATTGCCGTGAGTTTGAGTTCTACACCGGCTTTTCCAATTATGGTACATTTAAAGCTTTCTATAACTATCTGTGTCCAGCATGTGAAAGGTTACACTATATTGTATCATCAAACAGCTCAAATCAAACTGCAAAACGTGAAAAGTGTGGGCCAAAGAGGAGGCTATCACCAGAGGACGAGCTGTTCTTACAAGACTCAGGTTGGGGTTATTGGAAAGAGATTTAGCAAATAGATTTAACTTGTCTAAATCCCAAGTATCTAGAATTTGGATAAAGTGATTTTTTATACACACGAGTAAGATCCATTCCTATTTGGTCTTCACAAAATTATATTAGACAAAACCATGCCTTCCAGCTTCAAGGAGAGTTATCCCAATACTAGGGTGATTGTCGATTGCAAGTATTTATAGAAATGCCCTCACAACCAAGAAGTCAAAGTGCAACCTTCTCAACATATAAAAACCATAACACTGGTAAAGGTTTGATTGGCATATCTCCCCTAGGGGTGCACCGGAACCAATTTTTTAAGATCCGGCTGGAACCGGATCTGGCCGAAAAATAGCCTTATCTCCTTTCTTCACATTTGGCTTGACCACAAATTGCCTTGGATAACAGGCCTTGAAAAGTCTGTAACCACTTTTTTATGTTTAAATGCTTCAGCATGCAGGCTTGTTGTCAGGTGTTTTTTTAGCATCCAGTACCAAATGTTCCTCTAATTTCTGGTATGAAAATTCTGAGATATTCTTTAAACTCTTTGTCCAAACATCCCCTAAGGCCACATAAAAAAAATTACTTGTTTAGCGTCCACCCATTTTAATTTTTCTAGGTCGGGCGGACGGATTTTTTTTTTTTTTTTCGTAAAATGCAACACAAAATTCTGCTAAATGCAGGAAATCCAGTATATTACCACAGTCAAAACTCACTTTAATTCTTTCAAAATCCGTTCATGTTTTTTTAATACAGTTCATGTTTTTAATAAACAGAAAATTACCGTTTGGTGGTCACGCGCGAACACTTTAGCTGCAAACAGGCATATTCTGGGAAGGAAACTTTGTGTAAACGTATTACATAGCTCCCAGAAGAATATTTTTTCAAGTAAAACGGTCTTTTTTATAGAGAGTTTTTCCACTAAACTCGGACAAATTTAAAAAAAAAAATAAAAAAAAATTGGAGGTCGGGGACTTTTATCAGGTCGGGCGGGGACGCTAAACAAGTAATTTTTTTTATGTGGCCTAATGCTGCCAAATTTGTATCTGCCTCTATTGAAGTTCCTAGTTCATTATCCACAATATAAACTTATTTAATTTAACTTAAACCTATCCTAACAATTTTAAAATTATGTAGAAATTTAATTTTTAGGACCAGCCTTAATTAAAACCTACTCCTTATTTTAAAATATTAATATATTTATATTCTTGTCCACTAAACTGCCTGCAGCTTTATATGAAAAAAATTAAACTAGAATGCCTTTAAATACCTTTAAATTTGTATTTAACTAAGCACAAAACTATGCAAATTTTAAACAGTTTTAACAAAGTTAAAAGAGGTGAATTTAATATATTTAAAATTAACTAGCTAGAACCTACTTGTTTATTTTGATAGGAAATGAACCGACCACAACAAAGGAAGCAGAAATTATTATAAACGGCAGAAACAGCGGTAAAATGATTTCTTTTTATGCTTTTGGCAACGTAACAGAGCTGGGGCGGAAAAAACCCGGTTTAGGTTGGTTTTCTTTCGCGCCAAAACATTTTCAAGGCTTTTTTAAAAGACTGCTTTTAGAGGCCATGCTTATCGAACGAAC